GATGTCTGTAACAAGAGCTACAGTCCCGTAAGAAGATGGGGCTCGCGGTCCCTGCGCAGACGGTCTCTCAAGCCCCCATCACTGCAGGCTGACGGCCGGGAAGGGCAGCTCGGCACAGACCCCACCAGGTACCACCGGCCCACCGGGGCTCTCCCACCCCCATGCTGCGTGATTTCTGGGCGAGAAGCTCATCCGCCGCAAGGTACCCGAAAACCCGGCTAAGGGTGGTCCAGGAACACAGTGGGATGCTCAAACCCAGCCTGGTTTGTTGGGTTGCATCCAGACCCCAGACTGGGGACGCCAGTGGCAAGCGGACACCTGGCAGCATCCTTCCTGCTGGCGAGGGATATCTGCACTTTGAGCATGTTTCACCGCACCGTGCCTTAAGTCCCGCTCCGAGAGGTATTTAACGATGGGAGAAGCCACAGCTTTTCCCCAAGAACGCACCTCACCGCTGTTTGTACGTTTGTTCCTACAACGTAGGGAAAAGAAAGCCCTGAATGTGGTAACAAACCAGAGCAGAAGAGATGTTGCAGCTGCATAGTGCACTGAATCCAAGTGAATCCTGAAAAGGTCTCATCATTTTGGGTGAGACTTGGCTCACGATTTTTTGAATGCCTCTAAATGGCAATTTTGTTAATATTTTTAGCTCTTCTGAGCTCTCTCTCTGTATGCAGTAAGTAAGGAGACCACCATCCAGTACTTACTTTTGGGAACATGCAGTAACCAGGGATTTTTAATGTTTAAACAAATTGACTCTGAAGTTTGCTTCTTTGTACTGCTTTTTTTCCTGAGGTTAATATGCAAAATGTACTTAACTTGGACACAGTGTTGCAGTGATGTTCTTGTTATTTGCCTGGAGCACCCATGGTGAAGGCAAAACCCAAAAATGGGATAAAACCCTGCCTTGTTATACCTGAACACAGCTGGCCACAAGGCTTTCCCCACCCTAATACTGGTTTTGCCTCTCTTGATTTCTTTTCTCCCATGGCCCTGAAAAACCAAGCTAAGCCCCATATCTTACTGCCAAATCTTGACTTGAAGAAAGTTGAAAAGCCACAATCTCAGCAATCACCAATTTTTTGTTCTTGGTGGTAAACAGCCAGGGCACTAAAAATACTTCCAGCTGCCATGTCTTGAAGATGGAGCAATCAGATGGGTCAGGCTGACCTGTGCTCACACGGGGAACACAAGGTGCCGGGATGTGGGTGAAGCAAACCGCTGCTCGAGTTTCTGCAAACCCCCTGGCTCTTTGCTGACATGCTCCTGCCCAGGGCAGGTTGTTTTTTTAATGTGTGTGAGGATCTGGGGAGAGGAGGCTGGGACAGGCAGAGGACAGCCCATAGGGGAGAGATGCCCTTAGTGGCTTTCATGCCTTTCATGCCTGCAGCTCCCTGGGACCTGATTCAGGAATTTTCTAACAGACACTTTCAAGAGCATGTGAGAGCCTGCTGAGCAAACCTCCCTTACTCAAAGCCAAAGACTTGGGTAACTTTTACTCCGCTCCCCCAGTTTATTTCAGTTGCATAAGCAAACATACGAGCAATATTTCCACTCCCCTTGCCCGCACAACAGCTTGAAATGGGATCTGATCCTTATTCCTTACTGAGGACATTATAGTAATGCAAGAATATCTAGATCTACACGGTATTTAGGTGTCTCACTCACATTGATCCAACACCTGTCAAATAAAGAAGCCCCAGACCCTCAAGGACAAAAATAAAATCAATGGGAGCGCTACACTTAGCAGGAGTGTAGGGCTAAAGGATCGTCAGATCTTCACCAAAGTGTCTCATTAAGTTTCCACCCTCATTTCCTTCAGGTGAAGATGATCTCGCTAAAATCCTGCTCTTCTTGCTTGGCAAAGCTCTCAGTTTGATCCCCTCCTTTGCAGACCCACTGATTTCATGCCCACATACACCTACCGATGGCACCTGCTGGGGGCCTTTCATTAACAGCTATGAAAAACAGAGGAGATGCACCCTTGAAGTCCCCGAGGTATCACTTCTTAGTCTTAGCACGTGGCGTGCAAAGCTTAGAACTGTTTAAAAAGTCCTTTCTTCTTGGGGACTGAATATATTCACACTGGAAAAGTGAGAAAAGAAACATGTTTATACATTTATTATATACAATATTAAGGCACAAGTTTAAACAGCAAAGAATAAGAAATCTTTGGCTGACCAACAATATCAATATTTGCTGTGGGTGACACATAACGCTCTTCAGTTTCCCCCCTATGTACAAATAACCCTCCGGCTGTACAACACTGTACACCAACTTCTCTATACAACCAACGACAATAAAAAATGACAGTATTTTACAACTAGTTACCAATGTCACCTGGAATGGCTACAGCACAGTTTCCCAAAACACAAAGCAGTTCAAAGAACTGGGAAAACCAGCACAAATGGAGTTGCACCGCTCTGCTGAGAGGGGCTGATTTATGGCAGTAGCACTCCACGCAAGTCCTGCTAGTGCTCAGGCTGGGGGGAGACCCGCTGGGCCTCCAGACCTTCCCTCCGGGAAAACTAACATCTCTCTGAGTTCAACATAATTGAGGAGAATGAACCTTTGAGTTTATTTGAGCTGGGACTCCAAAAGCAAATGAGAGTTGCCTATACTGTAGTCTCTAACAAACGGTTTCCTACATATGACTACGAATCTGGGGCAGCATCGGGTGTAAACACACCTTGGGATACCAGAAAGCGGAGAGACTGTGGTCTCCACGAGGAGGAGGAGGAGTGCTATACTCTAGCTGACTTGGAGAGCTGAGCTGCACCACTACCAAACACAACTGAAAGCCACATCACGCACGCTGATCCAACACTGTTTCTGCTGGATGCCTAGCTGTCTGCCTGTACACAAATTATTAAATAGTTTCATCAAAAGAAATAATACAGCTGGTAATAAAATGCTTAGGGACTTCCAAGCACCTGGGTATCCTTATTTCTTGGACAAAAATGATGAAATGAAATATTCACCACCATTTTACTTGTATTCCCTTGCTTTGTCTTCCTCCTGTCCCACTCCAACCACAGACACTCAAGGAAGGGCTACGGAGGTGGGTCAGCGCTGCTGCCACGTGCAGGCCCGGCTTTTATGCAAACACTTACAACCTTTAAATTAACTTCAGAGAAAAAAATAAAACTATTTTACAAGGCATATATTAAGCTGCGTAACATCTTCCAAGGGTTTTACACATTTGGTTTCACAATGCAAAGCTGCTAATACTCAAAACACACGGTTCGCTTGCCTGCACAACCTACCTACCACTACTTTGTTTAACAAGTGCAAAAATCAGAAAGAGGGCGACACCGACATATGTCTAACTCTATGTACACGCAAAAATAAGTGCATAGATTTAACATAGCAATTTTTTTTAAAAAAAAAAGTATCAACCAGGCAGTATTGAGCGCAGGGCTCTGGCCCCTGCAGGCATTGAGGTTGCAAGGACTTCAGTTTTCAGCAAAAGCAGAGTTTAAAGTGCCTGGTGTTTTCACAATCACGGGCTCTGATCCAATACCTACAGGAAGGGGTGACCTTGAGCCAGCCCTGAGCGCACAATTACTTCCAGCACCCATCAATTTTCCACTCTAGGCAGCTTCACATAAAATCCCATCACCCTTTTTCCCAAAGCCGAGTTATTCCTAATGTCATTACGGTGCACCGCAAGGTCCAGGAACCGCAAAGCCAATGCAAAAGTACCTCCAAAAGGAAAATTTCTCAATTGGCATGTGCAATGCATGAAGCAAATGGTATATGCCATGATTAACGCTGCTGGTGAGTTGGCTGTCTTACAAAGACAGTCGCCACCTCTTACAGAAATCAGGGACTAAGCTGAAAAGGAGAAATGTTCCATCCTGGGTAAAACAAGGTGAAAAGAAACTGCAGCTCAGCACAGAAAACAGATGATGGTTCATGCTTTGCTTTGCAGTTAAACCCTTCCCGGCCTGATCCTACACCCCTTAATGCCCAGTCCCATGTCAGCTTGAACGGCAGGTTTGTATGCTCAAGGAAGGTAGGATTTAGCTGTAGGCATTGAAAATAAGGAAAAATCCTGTTCTTGCCACCAACACACTGATTATTCCACTACTGTGAACCAGTGCACAGTTGGAGACATCTTCTGATCTCACATGCAAGCCCAGCTTAACTCCACTGGAAACGCACCCACGCAACCCCCCCTCTGAATGAGCTTCTGTGCTGTGCAGCCCTTCGGGGAGCTGCTGGGATCCTCCCCCAACTTTCCCTCCTGAAACCTTCCCATCCACACAAAAGGGATCGCTTCAGCAGGGTCCTCCTCCCCCCATCTACTTTCATCCTCCATGGGAATTCCAGCCAACAACTGCTCCTACCAAAAAAAGAAGTCTCAGCAAGCTCTGAGGTTGCAAGACATGAATATTTGCACTGTAAATCCAGCTCCAAGAGCAACACTTGTCCAGCCAGGAAAGAGGCACCTGACCAGCCTGCCCAGGAAAACCACACCACGCCACTTGAAAGGAATACTTAGAAGAACCTGCTGTGTACATCTACTGACCCATTATTCACCGAAATTAAGCGGTGAATACTTCTGGGAAATGAATTGATACTGAGGAAGACGCAAGTTTCTCCTGGGTTATTCAGAAGCTCCCTCTGGCCTCAAAAGAGCTGGGATTTCACTCGCTGTCCCAGCTGCAGAGAGGCAGGAAAACAAGCGGCAGTTTGCACCCAGTCTGTAACTTTGCTATCTTCTCTTTACACCAGAAAATGCAGTTTCCTTTTCCCTCAATGATCCCCTTCTTACTCCACATTCCATTTTCAATGCCTCTTTCTGCTCAGAAAATCCCAGACGTTCATTTCATTGCTCCTCTTCAGCGCTCTTGACTTCTCGCCTGGTCCAAAGTCTCAACATATCAGACTCTAGCTTCATTTCGGGCACAAACTTTATCTTTCTTCAAACTCTCAGGGTTAGTTTTTAAGGTTGGCACACCGAGGACCATCTTGGACCTGGCTGTACGCACACAAAACCCCAGAGATGCCATCCTCTGCTCAGATGAGGACTTCCATCATGTCCGTATCTGGAAACTCAGGCTTGTGGAGCAAGCTGCTCACTCTGCCTTTGCTGTCGGGCAGCTTCCCATGGCTTGAGTTCTCTGCAACGAGAAAAAGGGAAAATTGGTCTTTAGCTCAAATTCAACAGCAAATTGTTCAAAGCATATATAAAACCAATATAAAGCCAAATTTGATCAGGAGGCCGAGAACATGTCATGCTGAATTCCCTGCACAATGACAGTAGGTGTGTTGGTGTGCACAGACTCCAAGGGCAGGTGTAAAGATTCTATTTAAGAGATACAGACCAAAGCACCCCTTCAGCTGTGGCCCTAGAGAATCATAGAATCATAGAATGCTTTGGGATGGAAGGGACCTTTAAAGGCCATCTAGTCCAGCCCCCCTGCAATTGGCAGGGACATCTTCAGCTAGATCAGGTTGCTCAGAGCCCCATCCAGCCTGGCCTTGAATGTTTCCAAGGATGGGGCATCTACCACCTCTCTGGGCAATCTGTTCCAGTGTTTCACCACCCTCATCATAAAAAAATTTCTTCCTTATATCCAGTCTGAATCTTCCCTCTTTTAGTTTAAAACCATTACCCCTTGTCCTGTCACAGCAGGCCCTGATAAAAAGTCTGTCCCCATCTTTCTTGTAAGCCCCCTGTAAGTATTGAAAGGCTGCAATAAGGTCTCCCCTCAGCCTTCTCTTCCCCAGGCTGAACAACCCCAACTCTCAGCCTTTCCTCATAGGAGAGGTGTCCCATCCCTCCGATCATTTTTGTGGCCCTCCTCTGGACCCTCTCCATCAGGCCCATGTCTTTCCTGTACTGAGGACCCCAGAGCTGGATGCAGTGCTGCAGGTGCGGTCTCACCAGAGCAGAGCAGAGGGGCAGAATCACCTCCCTCGACCTGCTGGCCACGCTGCTTTTGATGCAGCCCAGGATACGGTTGGCTTTCTGGGCTGTGAGAGCACATTGCCGGCTCATGTCCAGCTTTTCGTCTATCAGTACCCCCAAGTCCTT